CCTGCTGCTGCAAAGCACACCTTGGAGTTGGCCTCCCTGACACTTCACGGCTGCTCTCGCAATTGTAAGGTCCTAAAACTTCTCACTGAGTCCAAGATGATGCTTCAGTAGTGGAAACACTCCGTATTTTGTATTGTTCTCCAGGTTTAGCTTTGTCTTTTTGTTCCTTATTTCCTTCATGCTGTTTACACCCTGCTTTGAAGATGGTGTTATTAATTTTTTTCCTGGTCTTTTCTCTGGTGCTCGGTACCAGAGTGTATGAACCTCTGCATGATGATGAACACACTTGGTTTCACAATTCTCCATTTTTCAGATGAGGAGGAAAGGTGCAGAAAGACTCACCTCAAAAGCATCACCATTAGCCATGCATGGCTGCCTTGAAAATTCACACTCATGTCAGTGATTTTGATAAATAATTTCTGAACAAATCAGGTAATATATGCCACCTTCTGCCAAAACTTTGAGTAACATTGAGAACTAAAATTTAAAAAAAAAAAACAAACCTAATGTGCCCGGTGGAAGCCTGAGCTACAGAAAAGGACTAATTTGTTGTATAGTATTTGAGAAAAATGAGGTGCCTAAGGATAGAAACCACAAGAACTAAAATACTGAGTAAATACCTCATTTAGCCACATTAGGGAAAATGCCGTTAAGAAGAGAGTGATGCTGAAGCATTTTGTTGCTTTACTTGGGATTCTGAGCTTGTAATTGTTATTATTATTTATAAATCAGCTGTAGAATACCTTATTGACACAGACAGAGGGACCTGAAAGCAAAGGTTTTAGCCCGAATATTAAAGGCAGCAGCAAATTTTTAAATCCTGCTGTCAGCCTGCGCTGGGTTTGGGGAGGAGGCTCCATCCCTGGAAGAGCTGCCAAGGTGTGCAAGAGCTGAAGCTTCACCCGAGTTGACCGTGTCAAGACTTGGAGGCTTGTGTGTGTCCATCAGCAAAACCTTACGGGCGTCGAGTAGCAGCAGTGAGTATACGTTCAGCATAATTCAGAGATTTTACTTTCTTATACATTTAAATAGCAGTTGACTGAAGACCTTTGAAGGTCTCATTGGACTTCTGTGGCCACATACTGCTGTGAATATAACTTGAGGTAAAAGGGAGATTTAGAGGTGGGTCTTGATTGATATCTCTAAGTGTAGGCAAATGTTTTAAGTACGTAATCTGCCTCCCTGAAAAGTCCACCCGCCAGCAGAGTGCCCAAATCTGAAATGTGGCAGCAAGTTGTGGTCCCCTGGTAGGTGCTCCAAGCTTACACTGTTTTGGGGTGCTCTAAGGAACAAAGACAAGGGGGTTCAACTATAATCCCAATATTAAAAATGAGAAGATATTTCAAAATCAAGAGTCAGAAAGTTTCATTGAGAACAAGCTGAGACATACCATAATGTTTCTTAAAAGAAATGATTATTTCTCACAATGAGAACACCTCAGTTTGTCATGCTTTCAAAATTTTCCATGGTTTTTTTTTTTTTTCTCAGCAAAAACTATTGTTCAACTTTGTTACATTCACGAGTAGTTTGAAACCCTTCAGGGCTCAGTTTTAAAGCAAGTTTAACTTTTGCTAAAAAAAAATAAGCCCTGCCCAGCACGCAGTTGCAGGAGAGCTGGTGGTCACAGGGAGGAAGAGGACAAGAACCCGATCACGAACAGTGGGAAATAGTTGACCTTCCAGCCACTCTCCCTATCGCCACTAGAAACAGCTGCTGCACCGCTGAGTTTCGCTTGCAAAATAATGAACGTGCTCACGCTGTCCTGCTGCATTTTGAACACCACAGATGAGGACAACATCTACGGTTGCTGTTTAACACTGTTGGTATTTGACCATGAAATGCCTTCCAAGTCCCTGGGCTGCTTTAAAAATCTTGGGTTTATTTCTGCTTTTTTCCATGGGTGGCAGCTATTGTTCAGTGGCTCGGAGATGGCTGACTAGATTAACTGACCAGCATTTCCTCAGGGAGCATTTGCGGGTGATTGAATTTCTTGCAATCAACAGCCCATTGCCCCTCGCCCCCCCATTTTTCTTGGTGACTAATTGATGATGACAGATGTCACCTGCGCGGTGACGCCAGCCCTGCCTTCAGAGCTCCAAGGGGGAGAGCGATAGCGCTTCTCTGAACACGAGAGCTGATCAGTGGTGGGTTTGCCCATTGGTGTTTTATTTTTTATTTTTTCACAGTCTAGTATCAGTTAATTAATAAGATCTCTTCACTGCATGAACATAAGCAGCCATTAAGGCTATATTTGCCATTGATTTTTTTCTTGCAAACGTGAATAGCAGTTTTCTCAGCTGTAGAAGGAAAGAAATGGAATATAATATGCAGACAGATGTGCAGACAGGCGTGCCTGTCTTTCACATGCACGGGAGGAGAGAGGTGCGTGCACGTACCAGCCTGCCTGAGTCTCCCCTTGGAGAAGTGCTGGCCAAGCTGTGTCCAAAACAAGCTCAGGTATGAAAATAGAAATATCTCAGATTTACTGCAGTTAAAGAAATGATATGAAGGCAGTTTGTATCGTTTATAGGTAACTTTTTAAAATAAAATAGTGGATAGTGACCGTGCCTGTGCTAAGTGCTGTTGCTGTGCTGGCACAGCGGTGATGGGTGGGTGGATGTAGCGTATGTCCATGGAGGGCTGCAGCTGCCAGCCTGGGGAACGCCAGCTCTCCAAAAACAAGTGAAACCACTAAAACGTCTCCCTTTCTGGCAGAGCTGCAGTCATACCTGGAACTTTGCTGGAATAGCGGTGCCGGGCAGCTCTTCACACGCAGCATCCTTAGACCTTGGTCAGCAGGACTTCATCTTCATTGCCTTGACCCAGCCTGGTTTTTTGCATAGAGTAGCTCTTAGGTGACAATAGTTAATGATCTGAGAAAAGTAAAATCATTTTCTTCTAACTCTGACCAAGCAGCTTTACTGTGACAATGCAAACACTCATCCCCGTAGATGCTTTCCACCCGTCGGCCCCTGCGCAAAGCTCTTTGCCTTGCCTCTCCTGCCTACATCCTGCTCCAGGTTCAAATAATTCCCCAAAGGGGCC